GTTTTGTTTAGAAACTCACAGCGTTTTCAGAATGTTTGGTTTACAGTGCTTTTTGTAGGAAGTTATTTTGAGAAGTCGGTCAAACTGCATAAACTTGTGCTCTCCGTATAATTAGGAGGAACAGCATGCTGTCTGTAAACAGCAGAGGCTGAGATGCAGCTAGACTCCAGGAGGGTGAAGCTACCCGTCAATTATGAATCCGGGGAGAGGTAGTGCATGATCAAACGAGGAGGCCAGAATGCCTCTGCAAGGCTGCATGGGGGTCGCCGTGCCGGGGGGGGGGGGGGGGGGTGTGTACGCACACAAACACACAAACACACACACGTTATATATCTACATCGCTTTAACTGTAGGGTTGTCCCATTCATTCACATTTTTCTGTAATTTGCAATTAATGTCAACCCCTAAAAAGTCAAAGATAACCTCGTAACCTTGTAAGTATTGTGGCACTTTCAGAACTTCAGTTTTTCTTTTGTGGGTCTCTGTTACCAAATTACTATATATCTAATCTATATGGAGACATTTTCTGGGAAAAAGCTGCACAGGACCCCATGCTTGAACACACATACAGCAAACACACACTCCTACAAGCGCACACATCGGCAGAGCTCCACCTCCAACCACACAGGCTCCAAACTGAAGCATGAAAATAAGACACTCCAGCACATGCACAAACACAAAAACGTGCACGCACACTGTCCACCAGCTACTGCACACACAGAATACACTGCAAGTCCTGGAGCATATCCCCCCCCCCCACCCACGTGCTCCTGGGGAGAACACAGCCCCCAAGCAACCGTTTGGCTTCCCTACACATCCTGGCACCATCTTATAGATGTGCTACGACGTACAATCCGCAGAAGGAGCCGGAAGCGGACGGCCTTCTCAATCACCACGCTGAGCATCTTTAAAAACATCTGCTTTCTCCTTCTCGCACCTCAGGCGGCTATGAAACACTCCCATTCAAGGGTGCAATAAAAAAAAATTATACAATTAATGTATTTTTAAACACGCCATAAATAAGGCTGATTCTGGCGGCATACAGGCAGCGGGAAATTGAGGAAACGTCATAATCGTGAATATTTAAAACGAAAGATCAATGATCACCCTAAATTACACCCATCTGAAGAGCTACTATCAAAATAAATGGCCCGTGGGAAGATGTAAGACGGACCGAGCCCTGGGGCCCCATATTTTCTGTTTTCTTTAGCAGGAACAGAAAATGTGAGTAAAAAAAATGAAACCATAGAAAAATAATGAGAAGATCAGAGCATGCATTGGATTTGCCCACTGTCTCTGTGCTAATGAGACATTCTGGTGCTTCTCGTTAAGGCTTTGTAGTATAGCTTCAAGCCCCCGTGAAAATGGCTGTGATGTAAGCACCCCCCCTCCCCCAGCCCTCCCCACCAGCCTAACATCAATTAGAAGCCTAGGATGAACCTCAGTAGGTGGCGGGCTCTTGTGTGTACCACACCCAAGTGTGAGACATAACTTACCCCTGACCACGCCCCCACCAACTTGACCCCGCCCCCAGGCACATGGGCTTGAGGTGTTAGTCCAGCTTCTTGGTGGACAACATCTCCATGGAAACACCATCAGCTCACCAAATGCTTTCATCACAATCCAAGTACATGTAAGTGTAAGTCTATTAATAAAGGCTTGGCGTTTAAAACAGTAAGGAATCTCACTGGCATTACATCTAATCCAGTCATAATAAAATACAGTGCTATATAGAAGTTGACTTTTAACATTCCTGGGGTTCATACAAGTCTTAAAGAACGGCTCGCTTCTTTGAACAACCTTACATCCATTATATGCATTGCTGTAATGAAGAAATGTGATTGTTTTTATAATCAAGTCCTTCCCGTACTGGGACTTATCATGCCACAACTGTCTCAGCTATATTTCTTCTCAATGACAAATTTCAGCTTAAATAAAAGTAAGATGAGCACAAATTACAAATTAGTCCCATACCCCATGGTAATCTACTCATGTTAAACTGCGTCCTACCTCCATACAGAAGCAGGCCTAATGAGTTAAGTTAGCACAGTATTTTGGTATACAAAACCTACCTTTATGTTCTGAAATGACACTTGCTGTTCTTATCCAACTAAACATGGGCAGAGGGATGAGGAGGGATGAGGAGCCTCTGGGGTAGTGCTGAGCTCTCAGGCCTGAGCTGGAAGCCATTAAGATGCTAGATGGCTATTCTTACACACAGAGCGATCATCCAGCACCAGGGGAGCCGGAACTCCCATAAAGCATATGACGTATGTTGTACAGGGTGGGGTGCCTCCTTCTGGCCCTGATTTATGGATACGCTGAGGTAAAGCAGCTGGGCAGCAACTGGAAGAGGGTGCGGGGAAAGGTGCATCTCACTGGAGCAGGATCTCGAGACACGTTCAGACCGATCCAGTGCGGCTATACCATTCACTACCATCGATGACACTGATGACTGGCGACTTGTGACAAAATCAAAAGAACCTCCCCAGAATTAGTCTGATTAGGGTGAACTGACGATCCATGTCAGGAAGGGCATTTTGAAACTTCAGGTTTCCAAACTACTTTAAACTTGAAAGGCTCCTGTGCTTCCCTAATTAGTTCAGTTCTTCCTGTGCTCTGACTGGTTTGTTTCCTTGATTGAAAGACTCATCCTGCTGTTTCAAATTAACATTTGTGACACATGCATGATTGTAGGAGACTGACCAACCAGCACACAGCAAGACGTCGGTGCGCAAGTGAAATCCAGGTCCTTCTAATTTAAATGGTACCTTACAAATCCAGTTCTATCTCAAAGTGTCCTCTCTGACACAGATCATCTGTTCACCCCAGCTTGATAAATAACATAACTCCGTTCAAGTCCCCCTTCTGGCCCTGTTTTCTCCCTTGGCCCCACCTTTCAAGCATTATATTATGCCAAGAAATGTCACATGCAGAAAAGGTAACCAGAGCTGCAAGTGAGACAGTTTAACCTCCGTGTCTGTTGCTAACAACAGAAAGGCAAAGACGAAATGACAAGCACAACTTCTTCAGGAAAAGCGGAAATGGAATTGTTTGGACAACATAAGACTTGCTTCTTCAAACCAAAACCACAAGAACCCCAGGAAGCACACTCAATTATGGCTGACCACAGCCATTAAGCATTAAACCGCTGCTGAAACCAAGGCATTTACTCATGTTCACAACCTTCTGTGGACAAGTGGGTAATCCACAGGCGCCCTCTAGTGGCCAATCTGGTTCCTACAGCAGACATTTAATACAGGATACATCCTTTACAAGGTTGTGAGTACTGACCAGACCCTGTAATAGCCTGTCCGTTTCATTAACAACCTAATTCAAAGCAGCTGCTAAGGGGGTGGGGGCAAATGGGACATATCACAACTGTGGGACACAAGGTCAGGTCCCCAATGCAGGATGCCCTCCAAACCCATTCAGAGTAATGGTACTCAGCAAAGGAATAAAATCACACACTTCTTTCAGTCTTACATGTTACTTCTTGGTTAGATGCAGACAAACGCACATCCATCTCACTAAAGCAACTAAACTAAAACGAAATAACTAAAATTCAGAAGGATACTTCCCATAAGCACGTCCTCATACCAGACATAGTTTACCATTGGCGCCATTCATTGAGCTGATTCATTATGAGTTTTAGTGGACTGATACATGTTTTGTACATTTAAGTATAAAATTTTGCTGAAGATCCATCCAAGTCATTGACTTTCCAGTAACAAGCCTCAGGTCTCACCACTTAAGTTCCAAGTCAAGTCCCAAGTCAATGCAGGCAAGTCTCGAGTCAAATCTCAAGTCAAGACAGTCTAATACCAAGTCAAGTCCCAAGTCAACAAAAAAGTCTCAAGTCAAAACAGTCAAATACCAAGTCAGGTCCCAAGTCAACAAACAAAAGTCTCAAATCAATACAGGCAAGTCAACAAACAAAAGTCTCAAGTCAAGACAGTCTAATACCAAGTCAAGTCCCAAGTCAACAAACCAAAGTGTCAAACCAAAGTCTCAAGTCCTAAACAAGTCTGAATATAATCCTTTTTTTCTAATTTAATGCCAAAACAAGTCATAAAGTATATGTATAGTATAGTATGTCAAAACCTGTGCATCAGATGGTATCTGCACACTTAATAAACACTATGTTATGCATTCAATTAAAAATAAACCTCATTATACCACTGACTCCCACTTTCTTGTAGTATATGCATGCAAATATTTAATGAAGAGAAATACATCATGCAGTTAATTTGTCCAGCCTGCTTGTGTGGGCTTCCCCCAGAAACCCCAAAGAATGTATGTGACCTATGAAACCTAATGAGATTATAACAATAATTTGTTTACACTTTAGCCTTGCATATTACTCTTAAAATTGAAATGATACAGCTTTAGCAGACACAGAACCATCAAACACCCGGCCTGCTATCAAAAATATCCAATATCCCTAAAATATCATGAGAGCTCATACTGTCATTCTGCAAAGTACTAAAGAATTCTTGACATATTGTATGTGTGTCTTCACAAAGTTCAATTCTTACAGGCCACAGAATCAGAGAAAGAATTCTCCAACTCACAAATGTCTTCTTCTGCCACTAGGCATTCAAGGCCTTCCAGATCAGTTTGCAATAAAATCCAAAGGATATGTGCTATGAAATGCATATCCATATTTGGTCATTATTTTGGTCTGACTGCATTTGCTTTCCCAGTTCACTCACCAAATCCTGCTTTGATAATTGTGTCAAAATTCATCAAAATGCAAGCACCTGAGTATCTGTGTATAGTTTTCTCTTTCAGTCATTAGTATTATCTTCTTTTGATTTTTCTCTATTTTTTAAATGTTCGATGCATGTTTTTTCTCAGTTTGTGTTTCTATGGAGTTCCGTTTGATGAGGTCTTGGAATTGTTTGCACTTTTTTGACACACTGGAGTGTACACTGCATATTTTTTTCTGACATCCTTTGCCACCCAGCTGTCTGTAAAGAGCCGATGACAGGTCTTACCTCCAAGGGCACCACTTGCATGAGAATAGCAAAGTTGGTGAGGTGGTTACACAGGCACACGGAGTAGGAGAGGTTCCCCTCTGAGCGAACGCAGCCCTGGTTGGACCAGATGCCTTCCTTAGTGCTGATGGATGGTGCAGCCAGGGTCCAGGAACAATACCGCGTCAGATCAGGCAAGAAAAACGAAAAGGCAGCATGAGGGTTAGTTAGCCTCTGAGCGCCATTCGTCCTCTACAACTGATCCAGAATGCAGCTGCTCGACTCGTTTTCCACCTTCCCAAGCTCTCCCACACCACACCATTGCTACTCTCCCTCCATTGGCTTCCTGTAGCTGCTTGCATCAGATTCAAAACACCGATGCTCGCCTACAAAGTCAAAAATGGTCCAGCACCCTCCTACCTAAAAGAACTTATCTCACCCCGCGCTGCACCACGCTCTCTCCGATCCTCCAGCACTGCTCAACTGGCCCCACCATCTCTCAAGGCGCAAGGAAGACATGCATCTAGACTCTTCTGTGTTTTGGCACCTATATGATGGAATGAACTTCCCCGAGTTGTCTGAACAGCTGCGTCATTAGCTGTCTTCAAACAACGACTAAGTACCTACTTCTTTTGGAAGTACTTGGATTAGCACTTCCAGGATTATACTCTTACCAAAAAAAAAAAAAAAAACGTAATAAGGGTGTCTGCCAAATGCCGTAAATGTAAATGTAAATCGATAGAGGAAGTGACTATTACCTAAGGGGTGAGCAAATGCCTCTTTTCCTTATTCCCTCCCATTTGTACATGTTATTCATGCCAAATTGCACCACATATAGCAAAGAAAACATCAAAAACACAGATTCTGTGCTCCTCCCACATACACTCGCCAGCCAAGCAGCATTTTTCATGCAGTGTCTTAGCCAGAACTAGCCAGGACAGCTATGGCTCATCTAAGTAATGAATGAATCCACATTGCAGGCAGCTAGTGGCCATTAGCAGCCTGACAGCCCGTGGACGGCACTCACATGGTCACGTCACTATCATACACAAGCTGTTTATTGGCGTGACCATTTATAATAGACATGATCTGGAAATGTGGCCTGAGTTCCAGATTTCATGGGTTTTCTTTACCTGTAGTCCAGGAAGGCACAGTAAATGAAGACCTTGTTGCTGTGGTTAGAGGCGAGGCTGTGCTGCTGCATGGTCTGAGAATAAAAAAAATATGTCAAAATATCAGTGATAACACCAATTAGCAAAAGATGTCCTGCTATTAAGAAATATATAATTTAAAATCAAGGGTGCAGCGTTCAGAATTATCTTAAACTAAAACATCCTTAATTAGTAGCAATCTGTTCTTAACGGCAGCGGAGGTTACTAAGGGTTTGCTCCTCTCAGTGTTTCCAGCTGATCTCCCCATAAAACCTGCTTCTTCACCATAACCAACATTTCAGATTAGGATGTGAAGGATCAAAATGAGCAGAAAAAATGACATCAGATCCAAGTATGCCCCCCCCTCCCCATTAACTTGATTATAACTTGATTGTCCCCCACATGACAGAGGAGCAATTACACCGTGCACAGTTTCTTGCTTTAATATTCTCTTCTGACCAATAGTTTTAGTCCAGATTAATTTCCCAATTAAAAATGGACTGTTTAAAAACAGAGCATTCTGACTCTTTGGTCAGACTACTTTCTGCTTGGAGTAAAACAGAAAACAGTAGATACTTTCCTGTGCAGAATTAGTAAGCAAATTATTATTGCTATTAAAATGGACCAAAAACGTATCTTATAAACAGTGGGAAAAACACAATAGAGTTAAGTACCATGCAGGACAGTGCCCCTCCCCATGATATCCATGCAGAACAGTGCCCCTCCCCATGATATCCATGCAGGACAGTGCCCCTCCCCATGATATCCATGCAGAACAGTGCCCCTCCCCATGATATCCATGCAGGACATGCAGCAAAACATGTCTCAGAGCAGCATCAGGGATGCGGTGCTCGCTGCCTCAGATAATATAGGACAGGATTGAATCAAAAACTTGACTGGTTCAATGGATAACAGGCTCACGATGGTCACTGAGAAGAAAGGTGGAAATACAGGACACTAAACTTGGCGAAGTGGGCTGTATAGAATGCCTAATAGTTTGTTATTCCGTAAATAGACTGAATGGCTAAAAGTTTTCTCTATTGATATTCTGTTGATGGTGAAGAGAGAAAAATCCACTTAGTTTATAAGAACATAAGAACATAAGAACTATACAAACGAGAGGAGGCCATTCGGCCCATCAAGCTCGCTTATGATTGTCTAATAACTGTGCACACTAATAACCAAGAGGTTTTCTTTTGTTTTTGTTTGTGACAAACTAACATTTTCTGCCTAAAAAGATTTACCTGGAGCAAAAGAAAACTTCACTTTTCACTTTTATTTTACCCAACCCAACAATAGCTAAAAATTTTATCAGGAATAGTACTCTCCTAATAATTGTGCAATCAGTGTATTTCTGTCAGCCTAACAACTGTTGCTAGAAGTGCATGTGGCTTGGTAACAAATTCATTAACACCCATAAGATTTAATTAAGGAAATTAGACCACCTTAATTTTTTATTGTCAATAACTAAATCTGTGTGATCTTCGCTCATGGTAATAATAAATCACTTGACAAGTTCTCTCAGACAAAGTTCTCCAGGTGGAGTTCATTGGTGGAAAATCCCCAAACCAGCAACAGACAGCTACTCCCGTACCCAGAAGAAGACCACCTTTGTGTCAGATGTAATGCTCTGACCACAGGAACACGAAGCATTGCTCAACTGTTAACAATTCAGAGATGGCACAGCCTTAACACCGGTTATCCCCACGGCAAAGCTGTCAAACTAATTATACAAGCTTATTTCCAAGGCCGGTCGACAGGCTGCAATCTGTTTTGGGGAGGGGTGATGCTTTCATGATCGAAGTTGATCATACTGGCTGCACTGCAATGTGTGTCTCAGGTTCCGTCTTGTATCTTATAACAAACAGAACCCCTCCCCGCCACACATAAAACAATGGCCAGGCCAGAACGGAAAGCTTTCTGGTAGTCAGACAAATCCATTTCATCCAGGCTTCTCCATCATCCCCGATGGCTGAGGCCTTTTTCACGGCTTATCAGGAATGAAAAAGCAGCCTTTCCTACAATTTAGAAGGGAGGAAAATATACATTTTTCCCTTTAAGGAGGAAAATTGCTCAACGGCTGCCGTGTGGCCAATAAACAGCTGAGGCAGGTCATCGATTTAACGAGACTCCAGCAGAAAGGGCATTTCCTGGGCTTTGCAAGGTAACTCGCATGCTCCTGTGCCCATGAAGAGGGCCTCCCTGCTGTCCGCGAGCCCTTCCTTCATTCAGCTGTAACTCACTTTTTCCGCATCTCTCCTTCAATCTGATTCGGAGTCCTGCGGGACATTGAGCTAATGGTGAAAGGAATGTGGACTGAGTAATTAGAGCCTGCCGCAAGTTCCAGGGTAAATCTCCCAACTCTAGACTCCAATTTCTGGAAAAAAAAACCACACAGATTTCAAAAGCTGGCATGCAAGCCGCCCCACATTTTTAATTAAGAAATTGGATTAAGTCGTGCTAAGAAATCTCCGCTAACGTACTGTGACGGAACAAAAGCCTGCATGTGTGAGGAGGGGTTGTCCTCACACAGAAAGAGAAAGACCACCCTAAGCCCCTAACTCACTGCATCGGTGGGTGAAGATGCTGTGTATCAGGCCCTTGAGCAAGACACTGAACCTCAACTGGTCCAGGCACACCAGTCACCGGCTGACCCAGTGCTGTGATCCCAAACCTGCTCTCACCTCTGTGTGTGTGTATGTGTGTGTGTGTGTGTGTGTGAGCGGGTTTACCTATCCTTATGGGGACACAATGTCCCCATAACGTGATAAATATCCGTTTTTTTTCCCTTATGGGGACCTGTTTCCTGGTCCCCATAAGGGAAAACTCTATTTTATAAAAATCGGTGGCTGCTATGAAAAAACTAAAAATGCAAAAACTCTTGTATTTTGTTAGATTACTTATGGTTATGGTTAGGGCAGGGTAGGGGTTAAGGTTGTCATAGTTAGCGTTAGCATTTTTCCCATTGAAATGAATGAGCGGTCCCCATAAGGATATGTTTACCCTACATGCGTCTGTGTGTGTGTGTGTGTGTGTGTGTGTGTATGTTATGGAGAGCAAAATGGGATCGGATATTATGAGGATGTTACACGTTTGGTTCCGCAGCACATTTATGACTTACCCCGACAGTAAGTTACAAATTCATTTCTATCAGATGCCACATTTCCATTTCTATAGGAATTTGCATATTTCTGTTTATAGGGTGTTACATAATCGCTTCTATCAGACGTTACACATTGACTACTACTACATTTACTACTACTTCTACAGCATGCTACACATTCACTTCTAAAGGACGTTACATATTTACTTCTGAAGGACGTTACGCAGTTCTACAGGATATAATTCAGCAATCATTTTCAGCCACTTCTATATGCCACTACACAGAACAGTAATAGTCTCTGCCACTGATGAATATTTTAATGACAGATTATCCATACCTGTTTATGCACGAGCACCTACATACAGTGTTACTAGATTATGGAGGTCGCTCTACGTCGGCAACATCGACCACTGGACTACCATGAGACAGCGCTGGGCAAGGTGGGAGGTGGGCTCCAGGGGGTAAGAAGGACACATATGCACACCATCCATCCAGCAAATGTGCCCGTTAAGCTTTAAGGAGGTGTGAGAGACTCTCTATTCAAAATTACACAGGCCTTTTGGGGCTTAGTAACTCCGAGCTTTCTTGTCGTAGTTAAACGAAAACAGATGGGCAAGGCGAATAGTGAGCGTTTCACAGGCGGCGGAAAAGGGGGGAACACCAACCTCAGCTCACTCACCCCCCCACCCACCCACCCAGACCCCCTCCTGCTTGGCAACAACACTGTTTTCCACTGTTACCACCCAGTTACAGGTTACAGACGAAAGACGGCATACAGATTCATTCTCACACTGGTAGGCCATAAGCCCAAGTTGCTTAGCAAATACCATGTGTATGTGTCCTGCAGAATGACTTAGAAGGTCCGGGATATCTCATCCAGTGGGACTCAACCAAAAAACAGGTTGGAACCTGTGAGATATGGATTCCTGGTTCCCGGAGCCTCTACCTTGAGCCAGAGAAGAGTAAACCGCTCCAGGAGTTTATTAACAACAGAGGGGCCCATAGGAAAAAAAAACAGAACCTTGGAAACATTTCAAATAACAGCTAAAGAGATCAAGCAAAAGAGAGGATAAAATTACATTACTAAAAAAAACCCAGAATCACAGCTCGGAAGGGGCTCCCTTCAGTTTAGGCTTTTTTGGATCCATGCAGAGCGCAATTAAGTCCGCAGGTGTGTGTGTTTGCAGAAGGTGACTGCAGCACCAAGCAATTTCCGTACCCTTTAAAGTGATGTCACTTCCAGGTTTAGGGATTAACGCAGTCCGCGTCAGGCCGTTCAGGACTCTGGGCAGCTGATCTGATTCCATAGGCATGTGACAGCTCCATAGCACCGCCCCCCCCCCCCCCCCCCCCTCTTCTGTTGACTCAGGGCAGGCCTGAAGCCGCATGTTAGGGGGAATCTGTGGCATGTGCTGGTGATTAGCACTCGCCTCGCGTCACGCCTCAGGAATGACCCTTGACTTCGCCAGAACCAGGGAGTGTGCCAGCCGGCCCCCGGGATCTGAAGGCCTCCGTACAGTTTGCCATGAAACACTGATGCCTCAAGATCATGAGGAAGCGACAGAAAGGGCTTCCAAAAGGCCTCGAAAAAAATGTACAGAAATGCACCAAGAACAATTCCACCGCCCCCACCCCTAAACCTGTCCTGTCATCTCTCCTGCCCAGTAGGGCCTTCCAGTGGGACTCGCCAATGAATGACAATCCCTTCCATATTTAGGCTGAGATTCTATTCCATGGAAGTGGAGTGGGGGGGGGGGGGGTTTGGGGCTCCCTCAGATGAAGTTGAGTCTAAGCCCCATTGGGATTGACTCCTCTAGGCCCAGAATGAAAGAGTAAAAGAGCCACTGGCAAAAACAGCCTGATCACTCGAGAGCTCCCATGGTCCCCATCACTGACACCCACCCCCCAGCACTGGACTCCAGCCCGTGGTCATGCTGGAGGGGGCACCAAGGT